AATCCCATTTAATTACCCTAATTTAGCTGGAATTTCAAACAGTAGATTGCCACAGATTGAATGGATTAAGACTTGAAGCACAGCTCATCAGGATTTAGATCTGGAGCCTAATTCTGTTTTCAAGAATCAACTCAATCAAGTAAAAAAAATTAATCATACATTCTGATATACGTATGTATGTATGTATGTATGTATGTATGTATGTATGTATGTATATATGGAACTATAATGAAATATGTTTAATAATGAAAAAAACTGATTCTCAGGAAGATAAGGAGATATAATCTAGCACTGTGCACAATTAAGACATGTCCAACTGTCAGGATTACTTTGCCAATTTCTCAGAAACCAATCTAAAACCAATTCACAATTGGTTTCATTATATAAATTCCAAATGCAGAGAGCAATTAGTGCTTATGCACTTTCATCTGTTTAAAAAGTTGCCCTATCAGTGCCAAGCAACTCCTCAGTTACCCTGATTCCTGACATTTAAATTCCCAGTTAATTCTTTATTTTCTTTATTTACATCTTTTTTATTTTCATAATTCATAAATCTGTAACAGAGATTTTGCAATTACTACACTTTTCCATTTGGATATATCACAGATCCTTTATCTGATTTCATTTACTGTCTTTATTGCCATATAGTTTATACAGTTATACAGTATATAGTTTATGGTTATATTGTTCCAGAAGCCTTTGGGGAATTATCATTGACTATTACCACATTACAATTGTTTATATGTCCATTTGTCTTATGCTTTTATTCTGTATCTATATTTTTATGCTGTGTCCTGCCAGTATTTTTGTTGAATCCAATGGTAGTGATCGTGGTAGTAGTAGAAGAGGTTGGGGAAAAAAAGAGGAATAATTTGTCATAGGATGGTTTAATTATGAACTTTTAATGTATTAGATATATTAATATAGCTGGCAACAGATATTTGATATCTGCATAATTTTGTAATATATTATATTATGACTGCTACATTTGCCTTGATTCTCCCCGTCTCATCAACATCAGCACAACTTTCTGATTTTATTTTTTAGTTATAGTGCTCAATTATGCCTGTTAGACTAAAGAAGTTTAAAGAAAGACAGAGGGTCTAGGATAGTATACCACAAACTGCTTAGCTTATTCCAGATTTTCCCATGAGAAGATGCATTTTCTCATTGCAAAATTATTCATAGAATATGAAGGCTCATTGTACTGTAATTTTCTTAAGGTTGAAGTTTAAATTAAATTTGAAAGTTTCAATTCACTGTTTGAATAATGTGTTTAAAAGAAAACTGCATTCAATGGTTCTCATAACAGTTTGGGTTTCTTTGTGTTCTTTAATTATTATGTCTGTTATTTATAATTTCTCAATGTTATTTAACTTTTTCTCCATTGAAAGGAAAATGAAGGCCTTTGTTCTTCTTTTAGCCTTTGTTCTGAAGACGGAAAATTTTTTTTAGCCTCTTTAGCCTCTTAGTCACTTATATTTGTTTGCTATGACTTCTGAAAACATGGTAAGTATTTCTAATATTTAAATATATTTGATTTTATTTGTAATTTATCTTCTGATCATATACATGTTTTCTTGTCAATACAGCTTAGTACAATCATTTTGAGAGTAAAATAATGTGAAAAAAGCTGAGAACAGGGGTTCAAAATAGGCTGATTTTAAGTTGGCCACAATCATATCAGTGGTGGGTTTCAAAAATTGTTCGAACCTACTCTGTGGGTGTGGCCTCCTTTGTGGGAGTGGCTTGCTGCCCATGTGACCGGATGGGAGTGACTTGCCTCCCATGTGACCGGATATGAAGATGCCGACGACACTTGTCAGAACCACCTTAAATTACCTCACACACAGCACTGGCATGCATAAGAATACGATGTAAACTTGTTTTTTAAAAGGCATCTTTGGTTTGCGTTAAAACAACTTCAACACAATGTTCTGATTGCACCACAAACGCAGTAGTCATCCTTACCTTTCACAGAGGCACTGAGTTTTATAAATATGAGCATGATAGTGTAGAATAATCATATCCAAGGACCAGTGGTGGGTTTCAAAAAATGTTGGAACCTCTTCTGTAGGTGTGGCCTGCTTTCCGGGTCCAATGGTGGAAACTCTTCTAACCGGTTCGGTAGATTTGACAAATCGGTTCTACCGAATAGGTGCAAACTGGTAGGAACCCATCTCCGAACCATATGTTAAAACGTAGATTATAGTTTAAAAATGAAACTATTAATAAGAAATCTATTTTTTTATGTTAACCTTGAGCAATGAAACTTGATTTCACTGAGGGCCGCATCAGTTTTGTGTTTGACCTCAGGGGGCCTTGGTGGGCATGGCCAGCATGACATCACTTGTGTTGGGAGGTACCTATGATGGCCTGAACGCTTTCTCAGCCAAAACAGGCTCCCGAGCTGTTTTCGCCTGGGATGGCCTCCTTCTCTGCCAGCAAAAACGGAGTTCAGGAAGGGCATGTGTAGCCCTCGCAAGCTGTTTTCACTTGCAGAAACACCATGGGTGGGCCCTTCACTATTTCCAGGGCAGTCCCGTGGGCCAGATCTAAGCACCCTGTGGGCCAGATCCGGTCCCTGGGCCTTGAGATTGACACCCCTGACATTAATGTAGTCCCATTGAGAACCATGTTCTGAGTGCAATTGTTAGCCAACTGCAAATCCATCTGGTGTTGTACTGTCTATCCACATTGTTCTACCTTATCAAGAAGTAGGCTGTTGTTGATTGTATAAAATGTTTTACAGAACTCTATTATATAGCCATGATGACAATTCTATGGCATGTGTGCCAGAGGTGGCACACAGAGCCCACTCTGTGGGCATGTGTTCTCTCACCAGCTGCTCTTCGGATTCCATCACATGCATGCACGCTGGCCGGCTGGTCCAGTATGCATGTGCACCGGCCAACCGCTCTCTTCCGGGTTCTGGCACAGACTGGTGTGTCCCAGAACTCGGAAGAGAGCAGCTGGCCATACCATTACCACTGAACCAGTAGTGGTATGGCGGCCTGGATGGCTGGAACCGGCAGTGACCCAGGCCTGCCACGCCCCCAAACCAGTTTCCCGGTCTGTTCTGCTGTTGTTGCCGTGTTTCTGAACATGGGCAGAACTGTTTTCAGTCAACTGTGCATGTGCATCAATTAACAATATAGTAATATACTAATCCAAGGCAACTAGTGGTCTATGAGGGGCTTTCAACTGGGCTATGGAAATGGCTGGTAAGGTGCATGCACAACCTTACTTGCATGAGCAGCGGGTGAGCGTGCATGCCATTTAAGTGAGTGGCAGTGATTTATTACATAAAATGCAACTCCCCTGCCTCTTTTGTTGGGTCTGGATTTTTTTCTGAACAATTTATATCTTTATAGTAATTCCAATTAGGGGTTCCATCCCACAAAGTTACAGTAATGAAAACAATATTGTCCTTGCCCTCATGTACTATGACTTCTTGTTTCCAATACTTTGAGCTTTAGTGTATGTGTGTCTGAGCCTTTTAGGGCTGATCTTGCATTTGTTTTCTATTTCTCCTGTTTTATATCTGAATAGTAATGGGGAGCCCCTCCCCCAATATTTGAGATGGGGAAGTGAGCTGATGTGTAGTAATCCATAAAAATTGAAAAGGAGGTTTGCACTCATGAATTGTGGTGCTGTGAGCGCTGTTGTTTACACTCAATCAAGGCCAACTATCCTGAGATTCCAGATGGGAGAAATATCTGAAGATGAGTTTTTCCACATCATAGTGGACTCTTGCTCTGAATGCAGGACCCTGGGCAGGAGGGAAGGATTTGGGATGACTTTCATCTATAACTGTCATGCATTTTGAATCAGATCTTGTTTTCCTTTTGCTGCTATCATTTCAAACTTAGTAAAAGTACCTCTTCTCTAATTCAATGGAGTTGGGAGTTTTCTTTCTTGAGTTTTGAACGGAGGCAGGCCTGACATTTAATGAAAATGATGTAAAGCATATATAGTTAACAATGGAAAGGAATGCCAGGAGGGTGATGATAAGATATGGATCTATAAGCCAAATAAGCGGGAGGGAGGATATAAAATGGAAAATCCATAGATCCAGGGGATTTATAAATTGGGAAACGTTTTTATCAGTGAGAAAAACTGCACCTTTCTGGAAGGAACTATTCAAAGAAGTATTATATAAACAAAGTAGAATATGTCTCAGAATGCTATTATTATATTCCTTCAAAGAAGAAAATATTAAATTACATAAGATTTAATAACTAAAATAGTTAATGGATGTTGGTAGAGTTTAGGAATTGAGAAATGATGCAGGAAATATGGTCATGCCTTGCAAAAGTTATTAATAAAATTCAAATATCAAATTCACAGTACTTTCTATTTTTATCAAATCTGAGTGGTTACATATATTAATTTGAAAAATAGCTGTAGTTTTGGCAAATCTAGAGATTTATAGCCTGTGAATGAATTTTGAATTATGTTGAAAATGGCTTCATTTTTAAGCTAATTTATATGGCCATTTAACTGACTGTGATTCTGATTCTGAGCTAATAATATTAGCTAAAATACTGGCTCAAGCACATTTTTGGAAGAGAGTCACTTTTCCATGCAAAAATAAAGTTTTTTATTCCTTTTTTGTCCTTTAAAATTTTTTGCTCATCAATGAATTTTACTTCTTTCAACTATTTGCTTTTCTTCTCCTGCTAGATTAATTTAGGTTAGGATTATTAACTAATGGTTGACAGTTCATTCTTCAAATTTAAGTTGTCATGTTGTAATCACAATGTCAGATCACATCAATTATGTTCACTGTGGGCAAAATCTTTGATTTTGAGGCAGAGGGGGAGGCAGAGGGTGGTGGGAATTGAAGCAGAGGTGAATGAGACAGAGGAAAAATATGAGGAATGGATGAAATTTTATCCCCAAATTTGCTACTGGTTTCCTTTCCAGTCGAAATCTGGCTTCCGCGTGCAGAAATTATGAAGACATTTTGCGGCTTCGAGCACTCAAAGCTTTCCATTTTTCCGCACGGGAAAAAAAACCAATGGCTGCTTTTTAAAGAGACTTCTTTGGGATGGCCGGCGGTGGGGGCGATCCGAGTGAATAAGGAGGGGAAAAAAGATAATACCACGTCGCAATTGCGCAAAGCCGACATTACCCTCCCCGGACGGCTCGTTTTCATCACAATCTGCGGCGTTAAGTCAACCCGGAAGCTGAGAAGGGCGTAGAGATCCGTCCTTCCCGCCGAGCCTTTGTTTTCGATCTGGAAGCGTCTGAAGGATCCGAGGTCACGTCTCGTTTCCTGCCTGAGGGTCGGCAGTCTGCGATTTCCTCTATTCCCTATGGCCGGTGCCCGGGCGCTGGGCGAAAGTGGTGGGGGCGGTGTAGCCGCCATGGACTATTCAGTACATGAGGCTTGGAACGAAGCCACCAACATTTACTTATTGGCGGTGCTGGCCAGCTTGGCCCTGTTGGTGTACGCCCGCAGGTGGGATTCTCAATTGGAAAGAAGTGACTCCTGTAACTCCTATTTCTATATTGATTAAGAATACATTAGCATCGTAAGCTCGGTAGATCATTGCACGTTTCTGCCCACTGTAGGTGTGGAGGCTGAAAGAAACTACTTCCTTGCTAAATTCCGATTGGGAGATTCGGCTTTCTAATCCACGGTTTATCGAGTGTGGGGTACTTTTCCTAGACGATTCCTGGCCTTAGGGGAAAACTTTACGGCTATATGGCTAGGCTTGCAAATACTGGCTATTGAATCAGCAATTGGTTATCTCGAGATTTGGGGTCCATGCTTCTGGGCTCACAGTTACAAAGTTGTCAGCTGTAGACGTGGCAACAAAACAGGAACTTCTGTGAATAAAATAGGTTTTATTTATTTAGGGATTTGGAGGAAGGATGTGGAAGAGAAATACGTTATGAATATGCCTGCCTAATTTGGGAAAAATCCTGGGTCTTTCAGCATTTCACATCTCACCATGTAATAGTCAGTAACCCCTTGCTATCGGTGCATTTTTATGAGGATGATGACTAAATTTTTATTGCTCATGACCAAGTCTGATTCAGTAATAAATATTTTAACAATAATAACAATAACAACAATAATACATCAATAAATTGCAGCTTCCTCCAATAACAGCGAAACTGCAAAAAACACTGCTATTCGGAACATCGTATATTTTAAGAGGGTACTTGGTTGATACTTAGGACGCTAGCAGCAACCAGTATCAACCATTAGCACCAGTCATGATATTTGTGATGCATTTTTGAATGTTCAGTTGACTGAATTTCATGTTTAATGAATAAAATATATAATAATAATATAAAGAAAATGAAGGCATTCCTTGGCACAATTTGTCATTCAAATATATGTCCAAAAGGTGCTTTTTCAAAAGGCAATTGGATTTTCATTGTTTTTGCTTGAAGATGTGTTGCTTCTCATCCAAGAAGCTTTTTCAGTTCTGCTGAAATACCTTTGGGACAACAATAACCTGGATGATTGAGAATCTCTATTCTCAATAGAGAATAAGTTCAGATAAATGTTTATTATGAGTATTGTGTGACTTTTTTCTACTAATGTTGAATAATGGGTGTTAGAATGCAGTGAGCAAGAAGCCTTACTATCAAGTGACATTTAAACATCCATAGCCTAATTTCTGTAGTTACATCTTTCAGTGATGGTAACGTTTGCTTTCTCAGGAAATTGGAGATAATCTTTGCCACTTCTAATTGAAATTCCAATTGTATTTCTATTTCTTTGCAGTAGAAATTAAGACAAGTTGCTAATTTTATTTACCATTAAGAGAAATATATCTGATTTTGTATTACTTATGTTTTCTATTCTCTTTGGACTTTAGAAATAAGAGGAAGATTATGAGGATTTTTACATTACCTCCAACTGTAGAAATACCACCTGAACCAAATTTTTATGACAGCATGAAAAAAGTCCGTCTTCGCCAGCAATTAGAGATGTATTCTATTGGTAAGTAAAATATATTTACTTTGACACTATTAAGGTTTGGATAATCTATAGATCCCATTTAAAAAAAAGAAATTTATACTAAATATATGTGATGAAACATAAATCTGACTCCTAATATTTGTACCATTTGAAGTTACTACTCTGAATGTAAATACATTTAAGGGTTGTGCTCTAGGATTGTGATCCTTTTACTCTTCTACTCATGTAGCGATAATGTATATGGATCTTGAAGGTAATTAAATCCAATACAGATTGCAGGATTGCTAATGATCCTTGAATCATACCCTACATTTTATACTGATCAGAAATGTACAGTAGCACAGTTTATTATTCACGTCTTTCTCATGCTTTTTCTGTTCTGTTAATTTGCATAATTGGGATGGTATTCTTCCTTATAACATGATTCTGAGAAATGGATGTTAAATGACATCTGATAGAGAAATCGCTAGAAGATTTAAAGATCTTTAGAAAATACCTGAATTGGATATTTATAAATTGTTGAAATATCTAGTCATCCAAATTAGGTTCTTACCCATGTTCTTTTCTAGAATTCTCAATTTCTGTTCTGTTTTGAAATAATTACTCCCTGCCACTGATGAGTAATGGTAAAGTACATACAAAGCTATTTATCTTTGTAATTGTGCCATTTGGGCTGTAAAAGAAATAAGACTTGGGAATGAGATTGCTATTAGTTATTCCTATTACAGTACGGAGTAAAATGTTCTGTTTTCCAAAGCATTCTGATGACAAAGAAAGAACGAAGAACAATCAATCTAGGAGGGTTAGGTGTCTCTCAGAAACAGTGATGAAATATGTTACTGAGAGGTTTATTAAAATAATTTAATCCACAGATAATTTTTTCTTCCCTATACCCCATTCATGTGGGGAGAAATGACACCACAAAGACCTTGAAAACAATAAAGAGACTATGAAGAGGCATGAAAACTAAAGAAATTAGTGCCTGGTGGTGTTTCTTTCTGTACTCCCAATAAAAGCTAGGCATCCAATGATAGAGTGCAGGACTTTTGAAACAAACCATTCAGGGAATGATGCTGTCAAGAGAACTTTGGATTCTTACATCACAGACTACAATATCTATAGGAGGGGCTACACTTCACAAGAACGTGGAAGAATATCTTTGGAAACCAATTGGCTTACCTTATCCATAGCACTTTAAACTAAGTGGAGGAGACAAATTTTTAGAAACTAATTCCAAGAACAAAACTCAAATTAACCAAATGTTTAAAAAGGGGGAACTCAGACCCAAAACAGGAGAAGCAGAAAATAAACACAGGATTAGTCATAAAGGACTCAGATGCCTGTACACTAATACTCAAAGTATGAGGAACAAACAAGGTGAACTTGAAATTCTAGTACAGAAGGCAGACATGACTTCACTACCATTACACAATTTGGTGGAATGAAGTCCATGACTAGAATGTACAACTAGAAGGATTCAAACTGTTCAAAAGAAACAGACTTAATAAAAAAGATGGAGTTGCAATATATATACACATACATACATACATACAATAATAACACTTCTATAGAAATGCACACAACAATGATGAAAATCTTCTTGAATACATTTGGATTAATATAAAAGGAAAAAGGAATGACATTGCCATAATTTGTATAATAATACAGACCACCCAGCCAAACAGACGAAAGAGATGAAATGTTTGCTAATTGGTTAGCTACCAGAACTATATAAAAACTTACTTCATAAGCTACAACCACTACTACCAGGTGAGCCTAACTTCTCAGTTAAGAGGCTTTGCATTGCCTCCAAATTTTGACAAGGGCTGTGTTGAAGCCAAGAAAGCTCTTACCTTGGCATATAAAATGCATGAAACTGAGGCAATAAAACAATAATGGCAATAAAACAATAATGGTAATAAAACAACTCTTAAACATCTCACAAAAAAAAATGATTCCAACAATTAATTGCATTTAATAAGACACATGATACCAGATCTTCCTGGGAACAGCTTATTGAGACAGCAAAGTGAAAGAACTCTTCTCTATTCTGGCATCTAATAGCCTGCCACTCTTGACAGAATTTAGGAACAAGACAGTTTCCTGCAACTTAAACACACTTTAACCCAGGCCTGGGACTTCCTGACTTAGACAAGCCTTTCCAGTTGTTTGTAGAAACAAAGCAGAATATGGCAGTGGGGGTGCTGACTCAGAAACTCGGGACTTGGCACCGCCCGGTTGCCTATCTATTGAAACAGTTGGACCCCGTGGCAAAGGGCTGGCCGGCCTGCCTGCCTCAAGGCGGTGGCCGGAACAGCTTTATTTACTCAGGAGGACAATAAGTTAACCTTCGGCCAAGAACTAGACATTTACATCCCACATGCCCTTAAGGCTGTCCTTGACAGAAAAGGGCATCTATGGCTGACTAACCCCCAAATGCTTAAATATCAGGGCCTTATCACTCACAAGCTCCTGATCAAACTCGTTCAATCACATTCTTTGAACCCGGCCACCCTGCTGCTGAACTGGATGCTGTAACCACTCATGACTCCTTGCAGACGATTGAAGAAACCTATGCCAGCAGACCCGATTTGAAGGATGAACCCCTCCCTCATCCGGATGTTGCCTTGTACACGGATGGCACCAGTTTTCTGCACAATGGCCTTTAGAAAGCGGCATATGCAGTGGTCACGTTGGATGACGGTTGGGAAGCAGAACCTCTCCCTGCGGGTATCAGTGCCCAATTAGCCAAATTGCATGCATTAACGCCCTAGAGTTAGCCCAAGACCTCAGAGTCAATATCTACACCGACTAAAAATATGCCTTCCTCACGGTGCAAGTGCGTGGAGCTCTTTACAAGGAAAGAGGCCTCATCACAGCGGGAGGAAAGGACATTAAATATGGCCCTCAAATTCTATGCCTACTGGACAGTGCGTGGGCCCCAGGGAGGTTGCTGTCATGCACTGCCAGGGCCACCAGAAGGGGGTGTCAGACACTGAACGGGGCAATAATAAAGCTGATGGCACAGCTTGGGCGGAGGCTTTTCAGCCCCTCATGATGCAGGCCACATGCCTGACCCTGTGGACCCCCCCTACAGCAACACCCACGTCTTACTCCCCTCAGGAGGTACAACAGGCAGAGTCATTAGGGCCCTCTGTAGTGGGGACCTGGTGGGTACTTCCTGACAATCGGGTTTTTGTTCCCCAACACTTGGCATGGGAGGTGGTTTACTCTCTCCATAAGTCCCTCCACCTGGGAAAAACGGCATTGGAGAAGGCTTTGTTATGGAAGGTTTATATTGATAATATCTCTCGTCTAGCAGCCAGTGTTTGTGCCCGGTGTCATATTTGTGCTGCTAACAACCCTCAACAAGGCCCATTGCTCCCCCAGGGACATGAACCCAAGGGAATATACCCTTTTGATTCACTTACGATTGATTTCACCGACATGCCGCGCTCGGACCAGTATACGGCGATGTTAATCATTGTCTGTACTTATACAGGATGGCTTGAATGTATTCCTACCAGAACCAAAAGGCTTTTGAGGTGACATAGCTGGCGGGTGCCCAATCTTCTTGCTCCCCAGTCCATAACTACTACCCAGATAGTGGATTCGGTTAAAATTAAGCAATTGCAAGCCCTTAATGCCATAGTCCACTAGCTACAGAAAATGCATAGTAGGTATGTATTAATATTCATAATGTAATCAACAGCAAGACCCTTGGGGGGGTCTTATACTCAGGTGATATTCTGTTCACTTTCTCCCACCTGCCTCATTTCCCCCTTTTGAAACTTCACCCTAATCAAGGATTATTGTGTAGTTTCATAAATGTTAGGGTCCTGGTCATCCGTAGGCAGGGTGGTATAATCCCATATCTCCAGAGCTCTTGTAGCCGCCATCTTTTCTACGAACAAGGACATGGTATTGGTTATGGTGCGCACAAAGATTGGGAGAATGCAGGGCAGGATAACACAAGCAGAAGCTATCAGGCCAATCGGGAAGGCTCCAGGAACTAACTTCATTTCTGTTGAACTATTAAAGAATAATATGGAGTGATAGATTCCAGTCCTGGCAACACTATTCACTTATATTGACTCCATGGTCATGTCCCAGAGGATTGGGGGCTGGCAATTGTCCCAATTTTTTAAAAAAGGAAAGCGAGACGAGCATGCTAATTACAGACTAGTAAGTCTGCTAAATATAATCAGCAATCTCTATGCCAAACATCTTCAAGATAAATGAAAGGAGTGGCTGGATCCTGAGAACTTAATTGCTGAAGAGCAAGCTGGTTTGGAAAGGGGAGAGTGCTTAGTCCTCTATCACTTGATTGAAAAATATGCATTAAATAGATCCGTATCATAGGTCACCTTTATAGATCTCAAGGCAGCTTTTGATATGGTTACCAGGACTAAGCTATGGAAGAAGCTGAAAGCTGCTTCATTTGATCATAGGCGTCTCAATTTGTTATGTGGCTTACATATTAAAACATCCTGTGATGACCCCAGCAAGGCACGGATGCAACAGTTAGCTGATAGTTCAAACTTCCCTTTCTTGTTCCAATTTTCCCCCAAATGCTCCCACGTTTGTGGCAGGTTCTGGAGCAAAACGCTCACGCACAACTCCAGCAGCCTCTGGCTGTGAGTAGTCCAGCAAAATGCTGTTAGCACAACCACTTCCAGGTAAGAAATCTAGCAAGGCAAGGGAATATGGAAGTGACTTCCACAAAGCAAAGGAATAAGGCAATGAGCCACAAAGCAAAGGACACAAATCTCCACAAATTCAGCTTTCTGACAAACACCCTCCCCACAGCATCTCCTTAAATCTCAGTCCCCAGATGTTCCTTGTGAAGAGGGGTGGGGTGCTCTCCTCCTGAGTTGTCAGGTCTTCCTGTGCTGTTCCCGCTTCTCTACTCTCTTTACTTGTGGATCAGGAGGGAACGGTCCTTGCTCGTAGCCTGAGTTCCGTCGCTCCTCATCTCCACTGCCTGTCCTATCTTCCCCCCCCCCCCCCCCCCCCCCCCC